AATTTTAATTTTTTTAATTTATCAGTCTGAAGAATTAGATAAAAAAATGTTTTTTCTTCTGTGAAGTATGTATCAGTTGACAGGCACATGAAGAATAAGGGTATTTCAGGGGAGAAGTTAAAAATACAGCTGTAGAAGTGAAAAGGAGAATTTGGGAAGGTAGTGCTGGAAAGCTGGCTTTGCTCTGCATGCGTTAATGGTACTGAGAAAATCCTGTGGCATGGAGTATCTGTAACAGCTGCAACAATAGACTAAGGGCCCTGAAGCTCCTCTGTGCTGGAAGCCTTTCCAGTAACTGGTCTTTTAGATATTATTCTACATAATATATGTGTGCACCTTATACGTTTTGGTGTATTAATGTTTACAGGTGGATATTCTACATTCCTCTGCAAAATCTCAGAGGCTGTCTACCTTTTTTTTTTTTTTTTTTTTTTTTTTTTTGGTCTTGTCTCTGGTCTTTTGTCTGCTAACAGAGAAGCTGCTGCTTACTAAACACGAGGAAAACTTTAATACTTCCATGCTAGCTGAACAACTTGAGGTGCTGCTTTGGCTCAAGGCAAACTGAATTAATGAGACTTAAATGCAGAATTTGCTCAGCCCCCCCAGGTTGAATGACACTGAAGAAAGCTCCTGCTGTGATGATGAATTGGAGTCAGGTACCATAAAATGCAGCACATATTATTCTTTTTTAATCCTCTATTTTCTGATACAGAATACCATGCTTAGACTATGTTTTCAATGCTAGCACTCCATCTATTACAAATAGAAATACAGTTTTCCCTTTCAGCAGATTTCCTTCCCTTTCCTATTTTGTACAATGGATAAATAACAAGGCCAGAAAGAATGCTTGTCAACTTCAATTTTGCCAAACATGTAAATGTTATAAAAAACAACCTGTAAAAAAAAAACCCTAGACAAACCAGAATATTTCCACAATTTAAGTAAGATTACAAAGATGAACAGATAATTTACAAATAAACTGTGTTAGCCTGCAGAACTAAAATATTTTGTCATGGAGATCCTCCAAGTGGAAGAGTTCAGAATGAAAAATAAAACCGCATTCATGCAGACTTCCGTTGTTCAAATAAAAAGACATGGAAGCACACAAGGCAGCCATTGGAGGCTTTTATTAGCTTCTGTTTGTGAAAATACAATGCTCAAGTCCTTTGGAGTCCTTTAGGTTTATGTATCTGTGTGGAGCTTTGGGGATTACAATGGAGAACCAGAAGATTGCTCACCTACTTCAGGATTAGATCCTCAGCCAGTGTACGCAGGTTTTACTGGGGAAATACATCTCCGAGTTAGAAGCAGTTTTTTCTTTACCAAGGCAGTTTTGCCAGTGAAACACTGAACTAAACAAACAAAACTTCATTCTCCAGTTATGGCATGTTTCTCTATGGGCATGTAAACAAACTTCACCACTAATCTAATTTATATGAATTTCAGAGCTGATAAGATTTTTAAGCTTTTGATTATACTGATAAGGGTAAAGCAAGCAACTTGTATACTGACAGTGTTTGAAATCAGATTAACCAGAAAATATATTCACAAAGCTGGTTTGTTAAGGAGAAATCTTTTGGTGCTCTTCTAGTGGTATTTACACATTCATTGTCATCACAATTTCCAGCAATGAGCAATGATAATATCTGCATTAACTGTTTGAAAGGAAATAGTAAAGTCAAAATAGATGAGCTGTTCTAACAGACTTCACAAAGAGAAAAGTACAGGTATGGGGATTGATCCTTTTTTAGTGCCAAACTGGAGATTTTTCATCAAATAGAAAAGTTATCTCACTGCTGGGAGTCAAATAACCTTTCTTTGTTCAATTTACTAAACTGAATTTTGAAGTGTAAAGGACATTTATCTTTTGAATAAATAAAAATTCTGTATTTCTAGTTGTAATTGTTCTTTTTGGCTTCAGTAGTGAAGGAGGCTATAGTTCCAGAAAGTCGTGTCATTTTTGTCATTGGTGCTGAGGGAGCTAAGAGACAGACTATAAATCAATTTACAGCTGTTTAAAAGGGGGGAACAAAATGAACCTTAATTCAAAAACTCTGTCAGATTATTATTATTTTATGATTAACTGGAGTGGACTTCAACCCCCTTTGAGGTTTCAGTGTTAGCATGATAAAATTCATAGCTTTTAACAAACTGACTGGTTTCAGTATTTTTTCAGTACATTACACATACATGGAACTATACAGCAAGGGGAAGGTCACTCAATTAATCCTTGCTCCAAAGGTCTAAGTGGATATGATCATATGCAATACAAAACTAATAGATATTGATTAGTGTGACAATGCTTCACTGAACAGATGTCTCTTGAAAGGAGAGTGGAAGCAATTTGGTACAGGAGGCCTCCTTTGTCCTCTCCCATGATGGTAAGGTAAACAGGACCTGACCCGAGTGCTGCAGGCCCACTATGGCATGACAACACCCCTAATGCCAACCTAGCTCAAATAGGACTGTAAGAGAAAAACATTTAGTGAAGTCCATATATCCCCTAGACCTCCCAAGATGTGTCAGTGTACCCCAGTGCAAGGCAAGGTTGCCCTCCCCACCTGTGGTCATGAGTCACTGCTTGGCATACTTAGCTCCTCCAGCATACCAGTCTTCCAAAACTGGTTCCTTTCAGGGTCATAAAATGCTCCTATAAAACAGAAATTAATCTGTTTTACTCCCAAGGACTGTTTATAGCTCTGGCCAGACCCAAAATTCATGCAGTTAGGCAGACAACCAGTGCATGCCTGGTAGATTGAATAAGACAGGCTAAGGCTTCTCTGTGCCCCAAGACTTCTCTTGAGAATAAAGAGACGCTTGCTTGGACAAGGGCTGAGACCTTCAAGAAGATTATACAGGGCTACATGCTCGACCCTAGAATTTGGAAGAGGTGATGTTTTGCTGCACAACCTCTAGGTGCTGTCTCTGTTTCTTGTCTGTCACTGGACAATCAAAGGCTTGACAGCTTCACTGGAATCATCACTTGTGAATGTGTCTGAAAATTCTGATTAATGAGAGGGGCTTTTTTGCCCTTGCAGGGCAATGGCAGGAAAGAAAACTGATAGAAACCAGAGAGCCATAGTTAACCATTAGAAGGCTCTGTGAATCTTCTTCTGAATACAAGGATGAAGGAGGAGATGGAGCACAGAAATCACGCAAGACTCTTAGGAAATGCCTGATTCAGTGAAACATGGATTCCTCTGCCTCTGCAGTCAAGGCTGACTCAGCCTAACAAAGTGGCTAAGTAGGCCCATAATTTTAGTTGTGACAAATACCCTCATCTTCATTGAGAACACTCATGCCCATGCAGTTGCTTAAATACTTTGCAGGTGATGAACCACCTCTCAGTCATCTGGTTACTGCAGAACCTCGTTTGAAATTCCCACGTTGTGAAGGTAGGTACTTTCAATAATGAACACTCTTGGGGCTGTGTCACATAAGATCTTTTGCCTTTTAAATGCAGATGATAGGCTACTAAAAATGTCTCTCTCCACGTAGCATTTTTTTTTGCAGTGCTGCTATGTGTTGCATATGCCAAACTTTCTTCTGTGACTGTAAAATATTTTATCTGGTTTAGATTTGTTATCTGGCCCACGAAGAAAAAGAGACACCTTGAAATTTGGTTATCACATCTCATTGAGCAATCTTGTGAACCTGTTGAACATATTAACAGTTGTATTTAAATATAATTAGGTATGGTGAACTCACTTGTTTGAAAGTTTGGTTTTGTAAAGACATAAGCATTCAGTTTCTTGTTATTTGCATACAAAGTATGACACTGACATCTGCACTTTCACGGAATTCTTATTCAGAACTTCAGTGGAACCTCACTGTCGCTGTTAAATTGTAGCTGTATTTTGTCAAAATCTGTTTTACTCAAAATTCTTCAAAACTCTTTGACTCCATTCAGGATCTGCATTTTTCTGTAGCTTAATACTTGAAAGTTCTTTGGGTTGCAGTTGCAGCATAAGCATTAATGTTACAGAATGAACACCCTTTATTCCTGTTTAGACTGAAGTCTGAAAAGTCCATGTGTTTCTTCAGTGCAAGGAGCTTTATGCATGTTACTTTTTTTGGTATGAGAGGACAGGGCATGTATCTGCAGCCTGTCACTTTTGAGTCATCACTCATTTTACTCAATTGTTCCTAATGAGGCAAGGTAGTTTATTTTGATGGGTGATACAGGAGAGACCCTGTATAAATTAGCAAAAAAAAAAAAAACAGGGTATGAAAACTCAGTCATATTCCTTAAGTATTAGTCACAGAGGAGACAGCTATTTCTCTGCTTTGCCTTTTCCTTCTGAATTGAATAAGGAACTTAATTCATTACATATAAACGCCATGTATTTGACCTCAGACCTCATCCGATATTCCAGGGAAATCATTCCTGCTCCTAGACCGGTACAGCTGAGATCTGTCCTTGGTGTGGAGCCGCTTCTTAAACGTCGTTTCCTTATTCCCTCCCTAGGACCAGCAATGCACCGGGATGGCCACGGAGCAACTGGGAAATAATTACAAAAGACATCTCTGAAAAAGAGGACGAGGAAGTGAAATCAGAGGACTCTGCCGCCTTTCGGGAAAGATAAAAATACGTATAAATCCCTGAGCAGATGGTGAGTGTAAACACACCGGAGGGAGCGGAGTTCCTCCCGGATGGAACTCGGACTTTCTCCTCTCAGCTGCTTGCCTCTCGCCCGAGAAGGCCGGGGGAGCTGCTCCGCCCGGGGACACACGGACACGGACAGACCCGAGGAAGCGCACACGCAGCCAGCCCACGCGCACACAGGACGCGCTGATCATCCCTGGCACACACACACACACACACACACATATACAGAGACAGCCAGAGACGCTCACAGACACACAGAGTGCGGGGCAGCCCCGCTCCGCGCCGCGGGAACACGCGCCCCGCACCGGCACACGCGCGAAGCGCCGCCCCGGCCCGCCCCCGCATCCCTCCCTCCTTCCCTCCTCTCCTGCCGCCTCCCTCCTCCCCGCCCGCCGCGCACACGCACAGACACACACACACACCGGCCGCAACATGACGGGCGAGCGGACGGACTGACAGTGACAGACCGGGGCACCGCCGCTCCGCACGGATTATTCTCCCCGCGCCGGGGCGACGCAGCGGACCGGCGACCCAGCGGGGCGGGGGCGGTGCCGCGCCGCGCTGCCAGGAGGGTTCCAGTCCCCGCCGGCAAGCGGCGAGCGCTGGAGGAGCCCGGCCAGGTAACGCGTCCCTCCCGGGCGGCATCGGTGGGCAGAGCCGGGCCGGGCCGCGGGGCGCCGCGGGGTGCGGGGGCCCCGCTGGGCAGGTGCCGAGGTGATCCGGCGGGTGTCGCCCCGGGGCGCGGGCGGCCCCCCTGCCTTGGCCTCTCCTTCCCCGCCCGCGGGGCGGCGGCCGCCGGGCGCCCTGCGCCGACCCGCGGCTGCGGCGGCGGGGGCGGCGGAGGAGCGGGGCTGCCGGTGCCGCAGCTCCGCGCTGATCCCCGGCAGCCGCGCTCCGGCAGCGCCGGGGGTTTGCGAGGGCGAGCGGGCGGCGCGGGGACAGCGGCACCGGCGGCTTTGTGGCGGGGCGGCCGCAGGTGTCGCCCGGGGCAAGGGGCAGCGCCGGCGGGGCCGCGGTGCCGCCGGGGTGGCCTGGGGGCATCGCGGGGCTCGTCGGGCCCCGCCTGCGGGGGGCACGGCGCGGGCAGCCGCTGCCCGCTGACCCGCTGGCCGTCGCTCCGACCGCGCTGCTGCAGGTGACGGGGAAGAAATCCCATCCTTTTTTTGTTTATGTTTTTGGCTTTTCTTCTTTCCGTTTCCCCGCCTTTCCCTCAGTGTGAGCGTGTGTTAAGCAATCTACAATTAACCAGTGAAAACGACAAGAAGTGGTATCAGAAATGGGTATGGGTAGGGCCCGTCCACTGGCGGTCATGTATGACCTTTGCCATGGATTTAGAGGCAGGAGATGGAGGATGCTGCATGTGCTTTCCAAAATCGCATGGCAAGCTGAAAAAGTGGAGCAGATGGTGATGGTAGCGCTTATATGCAAGAGGTTCATGGAAATCCTTTATTTCCTCTAGACAGTTTTTGTTTTGCTCCTTCTAGCTAAAGAGGTTGTCTTTGACTTTTGGCAAGGAAGGGATATATTGCTGCAAGTTGTCTTGCAAAAGAACGGGGTTATTTTGTTTTCCCACAGAGAAGAGATTCCCCTTCCCTCCCAGCTCTGTTTCTCCTCTGGGACAGACAGCAGTAAGTGTCTTGGCATAGACAAACTGCAGTATGCTTTCTTTTCTTATTGCACACCTTTATAGCTGAATGTAACTAGAAAGGAGACTCGGAGTATTCTCTTATCCCTTTTTATGCCAGATGTGTTTTTCTATCTAGCATATATTGTACTTGAAGCGTTAAAATCTCAGGGGGCACAGAGGTGGGGTTGTGAGGCAAGGTCTGCTAGTTACTTCAAACAATTATCCTTGCTCATACTTAAGAAGGAGAGAAAGGAACATGTTGTGAAAGCAGCTGAGGAATATATAAAAGTGAAATATTAATGAACTGAAAAAGCTCAGATAGCAAAGACATTCTACCTAATCATTCAGGAGGGTTCTTGTCTTCTTTACAACTCTTTGTTGTATGTGTTCCTATACTATAAATGTAGTTGGTATATGGATGGTAACGTTTGCATTTATTTAGCTGGAAGTAGTAGTAGTTAATTTTGGGTTCTTTTTGGCATTAGTGATCATCTCTGCAGTAGCTTCTTTTAGCTCTGATTTTTAAGGCTCCTGTAAGAAAGGGAATTATTACAGAAACGCTAAAAAATACTTCAAGAATGTTTTCTTGGAAATGTAAATGGGAAGGTCTGACTCAGACCTGGAATAACTCAGAGGAAGAACTAGTCTTGGAAAGTCCTCTTAAGAGACATCATGATGACAACTGAGACATTATTCATCTCTTGCATCCCAGAGAGCAATATCCCATAAATAGGCAGCACTGTCTCAGGAGAAGGTAATAATACACAACTATCCAGGGTCTGCTGAAAGTGAGACAGAAGCCAGGGGTATTTTCTGCCAACTGAGATTCCTTTACCTCTTTGTGTCTGGAGTGCAGTGGTCCCTGTAGTTAGTTTCCTTCCAAGCCAAACTAGGGAAGTTAATCTAAGTGCAGCAGTTTTCTGCCATAGTTTGGTGAGGGAAATTAGTTCAGTCAGCACACAGGGTGAAGTCTTGTAACCCTGGCTCTAATCCTTGCCAGGACTTCTTGGAGTAGCTGGTAGCTTGATTGAGGCCTGCCTTCTGGAGAGCTTGGTGCAGGCCTGAGTGGGGGAGCAGATGTATGGGGAGCTGTACCAGAAGGATAACCTGGAACAGCACATAGGGCATTTGCCATGTCTGACTTACATGAGTTAATGCTTGGTTTTTAAGTTTGTTAGTCACAGAAGATGCTGAAAAAGCACCTTGTATTATCACGTCTGTGCATGTGGTTGTGTGAGAGCAAGATCTCTTGTGCTGTGTAAGCTATGGATCTCTCCTTTTTGATTCAAATGTGATGTCACATGAGCCTTTGAAGTTGACATTGAAGAAGTTAGATTTGGCAGTGTTTTGGAGCTTTTTTTGCCCAAGTGTTTAATAAACTGAAAGAGAGATGTAGAGAAGTTGCTCCATTGGGAGCATTGCCACTCTTCCATGAAAGTTCGTGGAAGATACTATGGCTTTATTGGATTAGCCCATCTGGAGTACTAGAAAGAATAATGGCCACTGTATGTTTTTTATGATGTTGGGAATTACAGAGATAAAAGTAAGTTACTGAGAAAAGCATTTTGTAAAATTAAATTCTATGATAGTTTTTAAAAATCATAAATCTATCTCCATATTCTAGAACCATTATACTTTTGTAGTGTTTAATTGGATTTTTTCACTGTAATTTGAGGCCTCCTAATAAATGGAGGCTGTTTATTTACCCTCCATTAAGGCAAGGGAAGAAGGGAATGTTGCACTGTGGTTTTTCTGAGGTTGATTGATCCTACTGAAGCACATGAAATAACATTCATGTGTCAATGAACATATCAGTGGAAAAGGAACCCTATGAACACTTAGTCAGATTAAATAGCTACCAGCTTCTTGTGGTGAGGAACTGAGCTACATTGTCCATCTTCTTCTAAGAAGTTACTCTGTTGTAAGATTCAGTGCCTCAGGTCTTCCCCTTGAGAACAGTTTTGCTGCAATTGGGGGGGCTCATCATCTGTTGGGAGGGAGGGAAACAAAAGGAAATACATGTGTAAATAATGGCAAATGGAGGCTGGGTTTGTTTCCTGAAAAACAACTGCAGGTTGTTCAGGTTTTTCTCTCAATATTGTCTTTATTTGGCAGTTTTCTGTAGTGACAGTAAACTGGGTTACCTTGAAAAAGTAAATATGCTTTTGTATTAGACTTCAGCTATTCAGTGTACTGGCTGTGTGAGACAGCATGTAAAATAACAGAACTTGCAAGTACCTAAAATGCATATTGTCATTTGTACTGGTAAGGATATATATTCCTGTGCTTTAGCAAGGGTCTGTAACTTTAAGAGTATGGAAGATGCAGCTGTGTATTTTACAGGCATCAGTATTAAACCGCTATAGCTGTTTGCTAGTTAAATATGTGGTTACTTTTACTTGCTGCTTCTTGACTTGTTCTCACTGCACTACATAGTGGGGTGTGTCAGTTAGTTAATACAAACTCATTCCATGACTGAAGGCTGTAGTATCATTTGTCTGTTGTACGGCAGTGAAATGCTAATAATAATAGTAGTAGTAATAATGCTTTCTATGGAGTCTGCTGCCTTTACCTGAAATGTGACTGTCCTATAGAGGATAGTTTTTTTATAGTAAGGGAAAGGAAGCTGCAGGCAGTAAGTAAAAGTAGATGTGGAAGAAGCAAGATTTTTATTAAATGTGCACTGAAGTCGTGTTGTATGTGTTTTGTAATTCTGCACAAAAACTGAAACCTAAAAATGAAAAAAAAACACTGTTGAGAGGGATTACCAGATCTTAGTGATGATGGTTTTGTAACCAAACATTTTGTTGCCTATACATGGTGTTATATTTTTGCCCTGATTATTGTCATGAAGGCCCACATGAGTGGTGAGGTATGGATGTGTAGTTCTTTTCCTCATGCTTGGGACATTGAAGCAGTGATGTGTGGAAGTCATACAGCTGATTTATGATAAAGACAGTTGAATTGGAATATGCATCCCAAGTCCCACAGTCTTATCTTAATGGATTAACTGCATTTATATAGTTTGTTTGATAACTTGGCATATATGGGGAAACTTGTTACAGATCCAATTAGAGGATTGTGTGTAAAGTTATGCAGCATTTTATCAATAAAGACTAATTACGATCAGGTGATTTTTTTCAGTCCAGGCAGAAGAGCTTTTCCTGGATGTTTTTTTTGTTGTTAAGTTTGAGTGAAAGCAGTTCTGTACTCGTAGAATGTAATGATGCTTTTACATTATTTAAGAAAATACCACTTAATTTTTTATAATGCTCTAGCATATCAGGAATTTGAGATCTGGCTCAGTCAGTAATGCTTCTGAGGATCACAGCTGTTTTCCAAAGAATAAGTTGTGTCAGACTGGTACAAAGCTTTTAAAAACAGTCCTTTATAAATTTCAGTAGTGCAAATCATTGCTTCTCAGAGTATATTGTTTGGTTCCAGGGCATATCCAGCTGTGACTATTTTTGCTTATTTCATGCTTGTTTTTGGGCCCCTTTACTGATCCTAGTTTGATGTGCCATCTTTATGTGATCGCTTTAAACATTTTAATAAGAAAATAACAGCTCTAAGTGTTGTACTGGTTTTGTATAGGACAGTGGGATTTAAATTTGGGTACGGGTACAGAGGTATTCAACAGGTTTCTCATCCATGTCTTGCTTGTGGCATAGTCCAAACCTTGTAATTTACCTAAGAAGCAATGACATCTGTTTGATATCACCTCACAATGATGGTAAAATATCACGGTGTGCTGTGCCAGCCAAATCTCACACTGCAAGAAAGGTGGAGTCACCCAGTACCTCCAAAATGTGGTCAGAATGAGAGGTATGCTGTGCTCAGGTGGCAGTGGCAGTCTCTGCCTCCTCTGCCAGTATCCAAATGCACCAGCAGTTTGTGCTTTGTATTTTATTCTGTGTGCTAAGTACTAATTTCAAATACTACAGTGTCTTCTAGCTTTAGTTTAGTGCAGTGCCAATTTGTGGGGCTGTATTT